TGTTGCTAGAACTGACTTGCATGAATGCATTAGTCAAATTAACATGAAAACACCTATTTCTCATTGGCACATTCATTAACAGATCACCAGATGGATCATAAATAGTGCAAAAACTACCTTTAAACACAAGTGTATAATGTTTTTCCATCATCTGTCCTACACTCAGCAAATTTTGTGCTATATCTGGAACTAAAAAAACATCATCAACATACCTCTGACCTGATGGAGTTTGTATGCCCACTGTTCCTCTTCCAACAACATTCAAGTACATTCCATTTCCAATTTTCACTCTAGAATGATAACATGTATCAAGTTGAGTGAACAAAAATGAATTTGTTGTCACTGATTTGAGTTGCCACTATCCAGTGGCCACTGTGCATCATTTGTCATATTGCTACAAGTAGCCATGAAGAGTTGCTCTTCTGAAGATTCAACATTCTTAGCTGCATTTGTGATCTTCTCATTTGCATCATATTTGTTTTTGCAAACCCTCTCTACATGGCCTAATTGTTTACATGCATTACACTTTACATCAGGCCTGAACTAGCAATATGCCTCAATATGACTCCTTTTTTTGCAATAAGGACAAATAGGGAATCTAGGCCTTCTGTATTGACCTTTTCAACCCTGAGTACTTCCTTTCTCTTTATCCTTTATCTCACTCACATTTTTCTTTGTTGAGGCTACTGCACGTGCCTTGCCTTTCATTCGAGCAGTGAAGGCAAGGTCAGTTTTTTCATTCTTTCTAGCAGCTCTCTTTTGTTCATCAACTTCTAAAATGTTCACCAAATTTGATATGGCAAGCTGAGAAATGTCTTTTACCTGTTTTAGGGATGATACAGTAGCATCAAACCTTTCAAGTAAACTTATAAGAACTTTCTCTACAACTTTAGCATCAGATAAAGTCTCTCCTAACAATCAAATTTGATTTACCACCTTCATCACAGCATCAATGAACTCCTGCACAGTTTGACTATCTTTCATCCTCAGCAGTTCATATAGCTTTCTAAGATTCTGAAGTCGAATCTGCTTGTTCCTAGAAGATCCTAAAAACTCTTCTTCAAGCTTATTCCAAGCTTGTTTTGCTATCTCACATCCCATGATTCGATTGAAAACAGACTTTGTAACAGCAAAGTGTATAAAGGATAAAGCTCGATATTTCTTTGCTACATCCTCTTCATGTTGCTTCACTTGTGCTGGTGTAGCATTGTTTCTCAATACTGGTTCTTCTGTCTTGTTTTCTACTACATTCCATAGATTGACTCCTTTAAGAAATGCTTTCATTCTAATGGCCCAAATAGGATAATTAGAGCCATTAAAAATGGGTGCTATTTGCTATGTGACAGTTAAGGCTAACATTGTGTTTGGGAATAAGCTTTTGATGAGTGAAAAGGAGTTTTAACAAGCACAAAGATTGACTGTATGCTCTAATACCATGATATGAAAGTAAAAGAAAATGATAAAACAATGGTCGTTTCTATGTTGAAGAGAAGCAGAAGAAAAACATAACAGTAAATGGAGAAGGATGCTTCATTAGTTAGCAAATTTAAAATATATACAAGCATCATATGGTTAACACTTGTTTACAAAAATAGGACAAGTGTTATCAACCTTAACATGCATAAAGACATCTCATGACAATTGGTATAATTCACCTAATAACCAGTACAACAAAATAAAATACATAGTAAAGCAAAAGATAACATAAATGCATGCTCAGTCAATGCATGCTTTATCTCTAACAAAAACCTAGTAAATCTCCATTTGTGACCTCACACCTGAACCTTTGAATCAATATGGTTTTTGAATATGAAAGTACAACAATATCAACATCTTTTCTCCATATTAAAGCCAACTCCCTTGATCTTCTTATAACATCCATCAGTAGACAACCATCCATTCCAAACAGAATCCATAACCTCTCTATCTTCGTACTGTTCTTTTTTGTCTCCATGAAGAAGACAACATCGAGATTTTGGCTCCTAAGATATTTTAGGAGCACTTGAATTGTCCAAGGATTCCCGAGTCCTCGACAATTCCAACATAGTATCCTCATTTTTTCCTTCTTTTTAAGAGACAGAAAAATAAAAATTTTCTCATTACTCCATACATTTTTGGAATGTAAATAGGTTATTGTTATATGGATACATGTGGGTATTCCACTAGATAACATAGGATTAGAGTATTTTTAAATCCAAACCTGATTACATATAATATTAGTAATATTTTAAACCTTTAACTTTTTTTTCCTTAACACTATCTTTACTATCCCACCTTATCTATCTTTTTTGTAAATTAATAAATGTCATATTAATTTATATTAGTTGAACCAACCCACTTTTTTGTAAACTAATTAATAGTAATTTTATATTAGTTGAACTATGATGCAAACTTAATCTTTACCAATTTTGTCAATTATTTATTTTAATAAATATTAAAAATATATTATTACATAAGTATTTAACGAGGTATCCAAATGAAAAAATTTACCTTATCTAAACAAGTATTTAACGAGTTTGGATAATTAATGAATAATTCTTTATAATTTACCACCATCCATTAGTGCCCATTAGAGTAGCACCTTGGGAGCATTACCTTTCACTTGTGTCTTATGTGTTTTGTTCATCAGTTTTGCTTTATTTGCTTTCTTCTCATGATTAGGTTTCTTGATCTTCTTCTTGATTTCACGAAATGCAGCTTCTCGAGTAGCATCTCGCATTTGAATGGAAATGGATGGCAGAGCAACAAATAAGAGAGAGTGGAGAAAGGCGGCAATGATCAAAAGCTCCAGAAATGGAACTACTTTGGAGAAAGAAAGAGTGAGGAAGAGAGAGAGAAAAAAGATTTAAAATTATTTTATAAGGTAATTTTTTAAATTGTAAAAAGATATTTTTGTTTAATTTTCTTTTCTTATTCCCAGCAACTCAAAATAGCCATTACCAAGGGGGCCTTAGAAATGGCTGCTCGAACCCCTCTTAGAATGGCTATTTCAAGGAACAACCATTTCATTGAACTAAATGTAACTTTATCTCATGAATAAGAATGGGAGAGGCATGACTATTCCATTCCCTCCAATCAAGCATGCCCTCAAAATTAGACTTCATCTCTTATATTTGTGGATTTAGCAAATATAAAACAACTACTATGACAGAAATATACATATCATCAGATTTTATGTGTCTACAACTTCTGCTTCATTAAAATAGTTGTCGATATCCTATTTTTAAAAATGGCAACAAATAGGATACTTGGTTCTTGTGGATAGCCTAATTCAAACATGATTATTTGATAAAGTATTGTGAACTTTATAAATTTTTGTTTAAATTGTAGAATTTGTACTCAAATATTTTAGACACTTAGTCATTAAATACCTCTATCTGTTAAATATCTTATTAAAATAAATTTAAAATTAATTTTTTAGTATATTATTACTTGAAAATTAAATTAATAAATTAAATTTCAAATCATATTTATAACAATCAATAAATTTTACTAAATATTATATTAATTATAAAATATTTATAAATAAAAATAATATATAAAAAATAAAAAAATTATTATTTATAATTAAATTGGATAGTGAGAATCTTATAACTATTACTCGAACTCTACCCAAACTTGTGACAATTAATAATTATACTACTCAAATTAAATTCAATCATAAAATATCTTAATTTTCTTTAATTGAATTTAGGATTTGGGTACATACACTTTACAGACATATAGTTCTATCCTTTTGCATTCACCTTTGTAATTATTATTGTCATTTTCTTAGTCACTTTTTTTCCTTCCATAAAAAGAGAAAAATATCGAATTTACTTGGATTTGGCCCAACGCTTATAAGGTCACACGTCCACAACTACCCGATTAACCAATTAGACCTCGCCACGTGTTTCAATTTGGTCAAGACCAATGAGAGAGAAGTCGGTGACGTTACGCCCCGAACCCCTTCAATTGTCCGTCTTCCGCTATAAAGAGATGAATTCGATGACATTGTCAATCAGAGACCCGGAGATTTTTACAATAAAGGGGGAGAGAGAGAGAGCGCGCATAGACCTAGCCGGAAAGGGGAAGAGAAGAATTTGCCTGAAATTTTCGTACGCTTTCTTCCGGCAACCGTCTCCGGCTACCTGATCCCTCGGTCGTCACTCATCATGGTAATTTTTCTATTTCCTCTTTTATTTGTTTTTGTGATCATCGGTTTCCGGTTTTTACATTTATCTCTTTTATTAATATGTTTATATTTTTCTTGATCTGTTTGTAGCTGTATTCGATCTGATCTATGATTCTCTGTTTGTTTTTTCTTTGTAGATTCCAGAGATTAGCTAAGAACAAAAGCTTTGTAGATCTCAATTTATCAGATTTATATACCTAATTATTGGATCATGTAATCATTGGAAAATTATTTGATTAATTTGATGGGAATGTTAATTGCATTATCTTTTTGAAAAGTATTATTCATCATTGTTATAATCAATTTAGAATTTTTCAATGAAAATTTCTTCTTCTTTTTTCAAATTTCATGTAAATCCAATGTTTTTCTCATGGATCTTTATAAATGTTAAATTCCGTCACCCAAAAACAATTTTTTTTTTTTTAGTGATTGGAAAACGTTAAATTTTTTTGTTTAAAAAAGAATAATTTGTAGTATCCAATTTTAAGCGTTGTCCCATTTTTTCTGGTCTGTGCAGACAACATCAAGGCGCCTTGCAGACAGGAAGGTGGAGAGGTTCGAGAAGAACATTACAAAGAGAGGAGCTGTGCCTGAAACAACCACCAAGAAGGGGAAGGATTATCCTGTTGGCCCTTTGCTGCTTGGGTTCTTCATATTCGTTGTTATTGGGTCATGTAAGATTCTTGCCAGTTAATCCATCACCAGCCATCCTATTTGCTTATACCTTAGATAATCAACGCTGACTTTTTCATGTAGCAGATTCAAGGCATTAGTTGATGTAGTTTGTTATGTGCATGTTGGTCGTTTTCATATTATATGTGCTGCTTCTGTATCCATGAGTTTTCTTTAGGTTCATCAATGCTATGTTTGGGTTATGTTCTTGGGTTGTGATCTTCGAGGGCATTGCTGAAAACACCTAATTACAAATTAGAATCTAGCGTTTACATCTCAGCAATGCAACCCACCAGGGTTAGTTGGTAATGAAAAATGTTTGCACGATTGACTGATCAAATTCTTTTTCATCTCTGTAACAGCTCTCTTCCAGATCATTAGGACTGCAACTAGCGGAGGCATGGCTTAAGTCTGCATCATCCATGTCAAGAAATGGCAGAGGAGACTTGTCATATCGTGTCCATTTTTTCTGCTAATTTGTAGGGAACTGATGATACATTTACTAGATATGCTTACTCATATTGTGAAGTGTTAAGATTTTGAATAAGACCTCCCCTTCTCGTCTCTTTTGTTCTATTTTATAAGTACTCGTTGTTACCTTTTTCATTTCATTAGAATCCAGTTATTCCTACTGCATGAGTATGATGCCTGCTAAACCAACAGATTCACCGGATACTGGTGTTTAATGTCAGCACAAACTACGGTTTAAAGTTTTGACATGATGATACCTCAATGTCATGGTATATGGTTAAACTGGATAATCAATTATCTTGGAACTCTGGGTTCATAAATTTGCTTCTAATTTTCATGGAAGTTCTAATTCCAAAGATTAGATGTGTAATGCTGTTGGAACGTGCGCCCATTGAACTTTTATCTGGGCCGTAGATGGTACAACAGTTTAACTTTATTCAGGCAAAACTGGCCTGCTGCCGATCCTCCGAGTCTTAAGAGAGAAGACAGTTGGGCAATGGCTGATCTTGGATTCAGAAAAAGATTAGGTGGTG